CATTACAGTATCCCGAATCCGGACCACTCTGGCTGGAGCTTCCCAAGGTGCCCTCAATCATGTGCCAGAACCCCGTAGAATTCCATCGTATAACTGGCAAAGCTAGAGCTTCAGGAATCTTACGACCCACCGGTGGGTCGTACTGTCCGAAACGGCAGAAAATGTACGATGCACCGATGGGTCCTATAGTCGTGAATGTGTTAAGGCATCGTCCACCCAAAGTTGAGGGTATTGAGCTTTTGGCAGCATATAATAGTAGGGCTCCCTGTCAAGCCAATGCCCAAGTCGCAGCGCAAAATGTCGCTTCGAAAGCGAGAAAATCGCTCTGAAATAACGAAGATGCACGAAGACGCCCAGACGGCACCGCCCTCCCCATCCATGCCCAGCCATCCGTGCTCGCCCAGCCAATCACCGTTCAGGAAAGCCGGCCTGCGGGTTCTCCGGAACGGGGATTTTCGGTGTTTTCGAGCATTTTTGACTTCATATTCGGAATCAGGGACATAACCACCTCGGAACAATCAAAACAGTCGAGAATCTGGGTGGGCGGTGCCATTAATATCCACTTCTTCACTGATTTGAGCAATAGCGAAGTGGATGAAGTGCATCAAGCGTACCAAGTAGATTGAGGGCGTGTGCCTTTTGCTTCATGATAAAATACTATAATCTTTGTTCGAGTCTATGATGCCAAATTCGTAGATCATAAGCCAAATTTCGTAAGAGTATTTGCCATACAGCTTATTGTACAATCGATTCATCTCATATGATCATGTGTGCACCCGCACACACCGTCCATCTTTGGCGTCCTCATCCTGGATTTGCAATAGCAAAAGGCAGGAGACTGAACGATTGCCATGGGTTACATCACCATGAGGTAAATAGTACCTAAAAAGGAAAGAAAACGTTGAAAATACTTTGAAAACACCTGCATGAAGGGTTGCCTCCTCCAAGAATCCAGGGTGGGAACGCCAAAGGTGGATGGTGTGTGCAATGTCACATATGATCATACGAAATGATTCCACTGCACTTAGGGAAATTTGAAATTTTTTTCGAATAGAAAATGTAATAGATTTAGATTACGGTCCCTGCCTTTGTGGGAGTGGAGACCCGGGAATGGAGACTTTTCACCCCAAAGTCTCCACTGGCGGTCTCCGGCAAATACATTAACATGGGCGAGGTGGAGACTTTGGTGAAAAGTCTCCACCCTGGGTTAGAGCTGCAAAAATCATTGTACCTCCCACATATTATAAATCATCTGAAAGCTCTTGGTGAGAAGAATCTAACCTATGAAGTCGCAACATGATTCATGCAATTTTGAAGAATTTATGAGCTGTTGAAGTTCAAAAAGCGGTTTTTCACGTGTTTTTTAAGAGCTTGAATCTCGGGGGTGTTTTGATGGATAGGTACGGCTAAAGCATAGTTCGATAAAGCAATTCTTACTCTACAAAACCTGTGAAGTCGCGACATTGCACACCTTCACATTCCAGATTTATAGGAGTCTGAATGACAGCTGTCGCTAAGTAACCTAAAATCGCTCAATTTTTTGAAATTCTCGTTCTTGGCGGCCACTGATCAGATCGACCTAATTCTTTCACTATTTGGTAGAGTCTGATAGAGCACCATTTGCTCTTCAAGACCTATGAAGTCGCAGTTGCTGAAATCTTTAACCGCAAGATTCATAAAAGTGGAAATTTCGCATAATTTATAGTTATTTTATTATTCAAAATAGTTGGCAAACCCGGCTCCGCCCGGGCCTGTCAATAATTTATTTGTAATCAGCATGGTCGATTACCCCCCTGTACCAACTCCCAGCCCTGTAGCTCAAATTTTGCAAAAAATCGATAAAATCGATATCGATCGATGACCAAAAGTAGCCTATGACACCCGCCCTGCCCCGAAGTGTATGTGTGCCACGTTTGGTTCGGAGCGGTTGAGAGATGGAATTTTCTATTCGGAACATACACAGACAGATAAACAGACATTCAGCTTTATATATAAGATTCTGGTTCTCGGCGGTTACTGCCTGGATCGACCTGCTTCCTTCAAATCACTTCAAAACACACCATTTACTAAACACATTTATTTTGAACTATTGGCAAACCCGGCTCCGCCCGGGCCTGTCAATAATATATTTGTAATCAGCATGCTCGATTACCCCCTGTGCCAACTCCCAGCCCTGTAGCTCAGATTCTGCAAAAAATCGATGAAATCGATAAAAGTAATCGATAATTCTGGAAACTATTATTGTATTCGGAATCGCCATGCCACATACCCGCCTGTGCCAACTCCCAGCCCTGTAGCTCAAACTTTGCAAAAAATTGATGAAATCGATAAAAGTAATCGATAATTCTGGAAACTATTATTGTATTCGGAATCGCCATGCCACATACCCGCCTGTGCCAACTCCCAGCCCTGTAGGTGAACCCTGCAAAAAATCGATATCGATCGATGACGAAAAGTAGCCTATGACACGCTCCCCGCCCCGAAGTGTATATGTGCCCAGTTTGGTCCGGATCGGTTGAGAAATGGAATTTTCTATTCGGAACATACACAGACAAACAGACATTCAGCTTTATATATAAGATTCTGGTTCTCGGCGGTTACTGCCCGGATCGACCTACTTCCTTCAAAGTTCTTATAACAAAATTTACGTAATAAAATCTGTGAAGTCTCGCTGACTTTCACTTCAAAACACACCATTTACTAAACACGTTTGTTTTAAACTAATTGGCAAACCCGGCTCCGCCCGGGCCTGTCAATAATATATTTGTAATCAGCCTTCTCGATCACTCCCCCCCCCTGTGCCAATTCCCAGCCCTGCAGCTCAAATTTTGCAAAAAATCGATGAAATCGATATTGATCGTTGACCAAAAGTAGCCTATGACACCCGCCCTGCCCCGAAGTGTATGTGTGCCAAGTTTGATCCGGTTCGGTTGAGAAATGGAATCTTCTATTCGGAACATAGTGTACCTCAGACAATCGCTGGGGACAGGCGGGCACCGGAAAAATAGATTGCTGATTTCTCGCACCCCGCTCGCGGATTTTTTGCAAAGCAGTCAGGACTTTTCGGAAGACCGCTTGCTGAGTCAGCGGATTTTTGAGAGACCGCCTGTTGAATTTTTTTCGCTCTTATCTTTTGCAGATATATTGCTGAATCTCTGAGGAATCGAGAACTCAGCAAGCGGTATTCCCAAAAGTCCTGATTGCTTTCCAAAAAATCCGCGAGCGGGGTGCGAGAGATTAGCAATCTATTTTTCCGGTGCCCGCCTGCCCCCGGCGATTGTCTGAGCAGACACACACACACACAGACAAACAGACATTCAACTTTATATATAAGATACACATATATGCCGCCGCATACATAAAAATATGCTTTCAATGATCTTTTTTGCGTTTGTTTTGCTTATTTTCCGCGCACTGGCGGCGACGATCTGGAAGGAGAGGCTTAGGGCCGCATGCACTAATATCCCCGCGGGGAGGGGATCGCAGCTTCAGAAGAAAGCTTTATATCCTGAAGCTCCGGATATCTGGATTTCACGTTGTGTACCTATCCGTACGTATTCCTATTACCCTTCACTATGAACATGTTGAAGAGGAGCGAGAAGCTGTACGAACCGCATTTCCCAGCTTTTGTATGATCCCTGATGATCCCCGGCGGTTTTCTTTAAAGTCATTTTTCTTTCTCCGAAGTTAACGAAAACCTTCCAAAGTTGTACTGAACATCTAACACAATAACGCTAAGCATGTTGCTGATGAGAACAAATGAGTTTTTGAAAAGTCGAATTTTTCGGTAAGCCTCAAATTTCGACCTGTGGATCATCGCAAATTTCATGACCTCAAAACATCATTTGTTCTTAGCAGCAACATGCTTAGCACTGTCGGGTTAGACAATCTGCACAACTCTGGAGATTCTTCGTTAACTTCGGAGAAAGAAAAATGACTTTGAAGAAAAGCGAAGGGGATCATCAGGGATCATACAAAAGCTGGAAAATGCGGTTCGTACAGCTTCTCGCTCCTCTTCAACATGTTCATAGTGAAGGGTAATAGGAATACGTACGGATAGGTACACAACGTGAAATCCAGGTATCTGGAGTTTCGAAATATAAAGCTTTCTTTTAAGCTGCGATCCCCTCCCCGCGGGGATGTTAGTGCATGCGGCCCTTAGTCGACGTTAACGGTCCCCCTCCCCCCTCCCCCCCAGTCGACGTTTTTGGGAGGTGAGTGTCCGGCACTACCACCTTCACTTTTGGCCGGCCAGTGGTAGCTGGAACCACCTTCACTTTTGGGGGGCCCGGCTCCACCTATCGCACTTCTGATTGTGAATCGCCGTGCTCACTTACCTCTCTGTGCCCTCCCTGTCCTAATGCTCAAATACTGCAAAAAATCAATAGAATCGATAAAAGTAATTGATAATTCTGAAAACTAATATTGTATTCGGAATTGCCATGCCCACTTACCCCCTGTGCCAACTCCCAGCTCTCTCCTCCCTAGGTGAACTCTGCAAAAAAATTGATGATCGATAAAATCGATATCAATCGATAACGAAAAGTAGCCTATGACACGCTTCCCGCCTCGAAGTATATGTGTGCCAAGTTTGGTCCAAATCAGTTCAGAAATAAAAATTTCTATTCCGCACTGACGTACAGACATACATACATACAGACAAACAGACATTCACTTTATATATAAGATATTATCAGGGTATTATCAGCGGGGGGTGTGGCACACAATCGTCGAATACGACCCCCCCCCCCCCTTGGGCCGGACCTCGGCACGACCCCTCCCCCATTCCCTACCCTCCCCCCTCGAACTCCCAACTTATTTGCTCCACAAGTCTCGATTAAGAAGGATAGAAAAACTTATACCAATTTTCAAAGACAAGCTAACAAAAATTACAATCGTTTAGTTTACTTTCATGGAAAAACTAAGCTTGTCGAGTACAACTTCGTTAGTGTGGACGCAGAATACAAAGTATCACCTTTTATTGCGAAAAACAACTGAGTATCGCGTACTTACGTTTTTGCAAAATGAATAAGAACAATGGGCAATTCGACCCGGACGGCATCAAGCTTGGCTTGATGCTAGACTAAGACTCTTGGAGGCAATAAAATGAGATGAAATAAGTACAGGATACGCATTATATGACTAAAATGTACTATCAGCAACTTGGAAATTGATACAAAGTTACAAATTACATGCAGAACAATTACTTGACCTATCTAAAATTAGGTAAAGACACATTGGAGGTCATACCCGTAGAACATGTGGGATCCGATGCAGTTTTGGTGATCGCATTGATCAGAGTCATGAAGTAGTACAGGTACTTTGACTAACGAAAGAAACGTGCTCATAAACTGTAAGCCGTGGATTTCGTTCATGTTCTTGTCGATAGATCACAAGCGCTTTGTAAATCATGCCTAAAACGGTATCGATACAGTTTGAAATTAACTGAACTGACATTGTTGAACGCGGATTTCAGAAGAATCCTCGTTCTCAGCATCTAGAGCCAGTGGGTGCGTATAGGGCTCTGCAGGATAGAGAGAGTCGGCGCGGTTGCGGCCATTGTGCACACAGGATGCCAGAAGGCCTAAAACCAACAGAACAACCCCGTTCTTTTCAAAACCGTTTCAAATGAATGAAAGCCAACATATGATAGCAGGAAGGCATTTGAAAGGAAAAAGTATAGCGAGAAAGCTCAATGCGCGAGCAATGGCCGCACCGCACCGACTCTCGCGATCCTGCAGAGCCCTATAGCAAAATTCACTAACACAGTGTCTGCTGCAAATTTCTGAACTGGTCCAGCACTTGCGAATGGTGCTCAGCAACGAGCACGGTGCATTATATAGCCTTCAGAAATGTAGTTGACAAAAACACAAAAACTTCACAAAAACTTCAAAAAACAGAAAACTTCACAAAAACCTACTTCTTCATCCGCGAAATGCTCATGCTGCTCAAAGTGACTTCGCACATGTTGTATGCTAGATATGTGATACTCGCATAACGTGCACCAGTACACAGCATGGGGAAAGTTTCCATCAACCTAAAAACAGAAAAAATAGAAAAATGTGCAAATATGTCCAGAAATCATCCAAACAAAATCTTGTCCATAATTACAATGTGATGTGTGTTGAGATATTCGACCGAACAATCGCTGATAGGATACCGCTCTCACTGTCGTACACAATCAGGACAAGATCAGTTAATCATCAAAAACGCACAGAAAAAAGCATGATACTTTCTTAAATAAAAGCGAAGATTGGCAATACTAACCAAGATAATCGCGTTGTTCAACCTTGTTGACACATTCTTTGACCTCATGTCTGAGAACTGTTTCTGAAGGGCCAAAATCAATCGTGGAGCACATTGTAATTTCGCGACTAATGGACTGCTCTAAGGATGTAGTAAACTTGCAGGGATGAGTAAAAGTTGAAGCACAGACTATTAAGCACAGCATCTTGTTTCGCGTTATTGTGAGAGGGTAAGAACTAATACAAAAATAGAAGACAAATGTTGACTCAAACCAAATCAAGGTAAACTAAAAAAACTCACACGATAATCAGTTCTGCCAACGAACACGGTATTTTTATTACTAGCTGGAGAAACTTTGTCATTCGTGGCTGGCATCGTCTCTACCTAAAATGATGTCAGCAGAACCAAAAATGGTGATAAATATGGGTTTGACCTTAGCACCAGTCAGGGGATCAATCTCAAGCCAAACATCTTTTTTGCTACCTGGAAAGAGAATCCGCTGGCATGAGATCTCGGAGGATCTAGAGAACGAAACAGTCACTCAACGTACTTTGGTGAATAAATCAACGAAAAGGTGCGACATTCTGCGTAAAAGTACTGATCTGCGTGTAACACACCGTCACTGCTCTTGAGTGGAGACATGAGCCCGAGTAGCGCGGCGCCTCTTGAGCGCTAACGGCGTAAAAGTTTCTTTTCGGTGGATTGTTCCTATGCAAAAATAAAGTACGTAAGAAATCCCAAAGATCAAACGATAAAATGGAGTGATAGATATCAAAAAAAGCAAAAAAACGATAAGCCCGACAAGTTTGCAACCGACTAGCTCAAGGAAATGACGTCAACAACGAGAGAAAATACCTGCGCTGATAAGGTGTTCGATCCATTTTCCAGTAACGCGTACGATACAAATAATGAAGATTCGTAATGTCGCTCGCTTTAGAATCCTAGAGCACTCGTTCCTAGGTAATCTAAAAGTGTAAGTTCATCAAATATGATTCTGCGATAAGATATAGGAGTCGCACGAAGAATACTAACTATCAGATGGAGAAAAATTTTTAGCAATCATTTATTGCGACGTAGGCACAAAAAAAGAAAAGGAGACATCAGAAGAGCAGAAGTTCGATCATATCATATCATCAAATCAGACATTAGAAGTTTGATCGTTTGTTTGACAAATCCACCGGAAAACATGTAGAAAATCCAAGAACACGATGGAAACCAAAAGCGAAATCGTGAAGAACATCAAACTCGAATGAAGAAGTGGAAAAGTCGAGTGGAATTAACAATGCGGATTTCAAACTCTTGTGGCTCGCGCCCTTGGTATGATGGCAATTTTTCGACCCCTACCGTACACCAATATTTTCAGCGCTTTTCAGAGCCGTGCTTCAGCGAGTAGGGGTTAGATAATCCGCTGTATCTTTTCGAAGCGGAGGCGCTTTAGGGGGCGAATGCTACTACGAAGAGGGAAAGGATAGCTCAATAGAAGAGTATAAAAAAGGGTTTCGTTTGATCCTTTGAAGGTAAGTTAATGGGGTGCGGCACCCCCCCCCCCTAAAAGCTGCGGCAGCCGCAGCTTTTGAGGGGGGGGGGGTGCCGCACCCCATTAACTATATCAAAAAGACATTTTTAGTAAACACTATTTATATGATCGATAGCCTAAACCTCGCAGATTTCATAGGAGTTATTTGGGTTTGATTCGTCTTCTTAGCTCTGAGTAATATTCAGAAAAAGCACAGCCCTTGAAATTTGTAGGTGAGATTTGGCAATCTTCTGTTTCCACAGCATGGAGGTTTCTTGAAGTGGGATTTCTCATGCAAGGAAGGGAGGGGTAGTGCTTTGTATTGAGTGCAAGAAGAGGTAGCTTACTCACCTTTAAAATGGAGTTAATCATGTTTGAAATTACTGCTTCATACAAGCTCGTTTACTACTCGGAGACCTCAGAGTTCGCTGAAACTTGGCGCATAGGGGTTATTCAACATGCTGATTACGACAATTATACTTAATTTGCGTGCTAGGGCCTTTTTGAGGGGTTACGGTAGGCATACAGTATCTGCAAGTTGGTGTCATTGAATGTGCTTGCAATTTGCAGTACATCAACAGTCTTTCATCAAGTCAATCTACTCGATGCAGCTACCCTTATTAAGTGTACCTTTTTTCCAATAAATGTAAGCCGTTGCTATCCATCAAAAATTGTATGAGTGTGCTTTCGTCAAGATCCTGGTTAATGGTTGGTAAATGACAGCACTAAACGCAGAATATATAACGAGCTGTAACAAGCATGGAGATAGGTACTTCAGCGTTCAATGTAGTTTAATGTAGCATTTTTCATACACTTCTATGAAGCATCTTTCATACATTATCTTTTTCTAATCACACAAAATGTCCATTTTCCTTGTACTGTAGCACAGGGTGTCCCAGAAGTCCTGTAGCCTAAGTTTGCATCGCTATAACTTACGAATCATGGTAGTTCCGTTTTCAAATTCATGCCAGCGATTGTCTGTGTAGAAGAGACTTTTCACAACAATCATTCTAGTAGCTGCACTTAAAAATCTACTCCATCGAGACAGACGACAAAAAATTTGGAAGATAGGGTGCGAGTTGTAATGCTAGTGCGTTCCCCAACCCCAGTAAGCTGAGGAGTCCACCAAACAATGGGAAATGGAGCAAGAAAGTAGGATGGTCGTCCTTCCTTTGAGAATGCGTATTTTGCGGCCGTTCATGTTCTCCTACCGCCTCTCAACACTTTAGTTGAGAACCGACTGTTGCAAGAAGAACTTGCTAAGATGAGTATTTTCTCAATCGGATCTTCTGAGGAAACAGACTGAAAATCTTCACATATGCTGTGCCAAAATCATTTGATTTAACACTATTCATTTTATCAGACGTATGCAACGGATAAATATATTTTTAGATGTACATTTTGCATAGAAACTACAAGAACGATATGCGTAGTGTTCTTCTTTTTTAACATAAGTCATTTAAGGTATCGGGTATTTTATATTGACAGAATAATTCACGTTCCCAGACATCACTCGTCGATCGTCACACCGTCATCCATCAACTGACTGCAAAAGCTGCTTTTTGAAGAAATTCTATTGAAATTACAGCTCGTACCCCAACCGGGAGTCCATTGTATTTCTCTCACTTATTTTGGCTGGGTTGTCAGAGGCAGCTGGGAAAGAGCGTGGCACATCTAAAAATTCTGTTGCAGTGCTTTTCCTCTTAAAAACCGCTTTTGACCTTGGGCGATACGACCCCTCCCCTCACCTACCCCCCTCCCCTTACGACCCCCCGGTGTGGCGTGCCGCACCCCCCGCTTTACCCTGGATATTATATACCCTCCCAATCGAATGTCATTCGTTATTCGATTTTCGAATATTATTCGGTTTTCGAATATTATTCGACTTTCGAATACTACACGATTTATTGATGTAAATGAGATGACTGCCTTTAAGAGAATATATCTAGCAGTAAGTGGCTTCATTTGAGTATCACAAATAAACACTTTTTCATGTTACAATTTACGACTAAAAAACGGCTTAGTAACGTCAAGAGACCTGAGAACTCAAATGCATACTCCTATGACGGCTGCGAAAAGTTTATAGCATTTCAAAGAATCTTATATATAAAGCTGAATGTCTGTTTGTCTGTCTGTCTGTCTGTCTGTGTGTACGTATGTTCCGAACAGAAAATTCCATTTCTGAACCGATCGGGACCAAACTTAGCACACATACACTTCGGGCCCCGGCGGGTGTCATAGGCTACTTTTCGTCATCGATCGATACCGATTTTATCGATTTTTTGCAAAATTCAAGCTACGGGGCTGGGGTGATCAGCATGCTCGATTACCCCCCTGTACCAACTCCCAGCCCTGTAGCTCAAATTGCAAAAAATCGATAAAATCGAGATCGATCGATGACGAAAAGTGGACTGTGACACCCGCCGGGGCCCGAAGTGTATGTGTGCCAAGTTTGGTCCGGATCGGTTAAGAGATGGAATTTTCTATTCGGAACATACGGCGGAGCCGGGTAAGCCAGCTAGTATTATATACTCTCGATGATGTATTGATGTTTGATACAGAGGAGTCCCAGAAGTATCATTCATTCTATGACCTGTCTAAACAAGCCTCATCGTGTATTTAGCAGGTTTATATATACGTGTTGTCTCGTCCGGGGGGTGTATTTACTCCTGGAAACAGGGCAGAACAAACTCAAACTTGTTAGGACAATGTCCGCAATGCGGTTTTGCGTCTCCTAGTTATGGTATAGATGTTATGTAGGTCTGTAGGCTGACATCAATTTAGACTTACAGTACGGAGCGACTCATCGATCGCTCTTCACTGTAGTAAAATTACCGTAGGAAAATTGAAGAGGGTTTTGAAACATCAAAAGCAGGTTTGCCCAGGAAAGGGAGCCAAGAAGCCAAGATTGCATTGAACTTTTAGAGACAATCACTACATATAAAATTTGCTTTGAAGTGCAATGCTTTTTTCACAACTTATGTCAAGTACACCACAAGTGTTTCAACTCCTTCCAAAAACGTGACTCATTAGAAACTCGTGCGTAGTAAAATCAGCATTCGTAAAAGCTCTGCTACATGCACAGTTTTTTAGATTTTTTTGGAGAAATTTTTTAGATATCTTATCTCGCAGTTTCGTAATCTCACAGTAAGAGCATGGTTGATTCGCTTTTTGCTGTATATGTATGCTACAGCCTCCCTACAGGATCTTACACATAGGTTGGCAAAAGACTCCGTGAAAGGTATTAGCGACCAAACAGTGTTTAGTTACTTTGGGGACATCCCGTGTACGCTATGGATATCGATTTTTCGAATATTCGGTACTCATCGAATATTCGAATATTCGATGCACATCGAATAATCGAATCGATATTCGACTATCGAATGATTTGAAAGTTGAGATTTTTGAATATTCGACTTTCGAATAATATTTGATGATGAAATTTTCGAATGTTCGATTATCGAATATAAATCGAAAACTCAGATCGAATATTCGAATTTTCGAATCATTCGCATTCGATCGATTTATTCGAATAATCGAATAATCTTTCGATTCGGTCCAAAGTATACTGGTCATCCACAGCTAGTCGCAGACATGTCTCACTTCATGCTTTGGTTCGTGCTATTATTCTCGTCTACCTCACTATCACTTTCTATCTCCAGTGACTTTTGCTGAGCGCACAGAATTGCGCTGGCTTATTTATAGTGGTTTCCTTAGAAGAAGAACTTCAAACCTTTGCTTTCTTTCCAAAAACCTTCTATAAATTTGTGTTTTCGATAACATTTCATGACATGTTCATAGCCGTGCTGTAGTGATCTCATTGTACTCGCTTTTCCTATCTAATATTATACGAGTTTAAATACCATAGCTAACCACTACTTACCACTTCGACCAAGTATCATTCCTCTGTAAGGCGCTATTCAAGCGCGCACTACTCGATCGGGTGCAAATGATCCAATACGGGCTTTATAACCATCTCCAAAAACTGCCTCGTCACGAATTTGGCGGACGACTTGCATCGGCTCACATGCGTTCTTGCGGGAGCCCATCACGTATGCGTCGCACTAGCTTGCGTCGCCCGCTATCACGGTGCGGAATGACTTGGAGCTGAAGTGCTCAGTAATGAATCATCTGCGTTGCCACGTGAACAACACATTCTAAGTTGTGGAGGTGCTGATATCGAAAACTCAGATCGAATATTCGAATTTTCGAATCATTCGCATTCGATTGATTTATTCGCTGCGGGACCTTACATTTTGACTGTTGCGGCATGCGTACTCTGCCGCTTGGTAGGAATTCAATCAGGTCGGGAGACCCCGCCCCAAGCGTAAGTTTCCCCACTTCCCGATTGTTTTTCTTATTGTTGATTCAACTGGCTGAGCTTCGGCAACAGCAGGGCTTCGTGACCTAATTAAGGCTAGGTAATGATCAGAGAGCACTCGCGCGCGAGA